ATACAGCAGATTTCATCATAGGTACACTCGCCCTCAAAATAATGTTGAATCAGTTCGTCTCTTATGAAAACTATTGGGAATCAAACATTGTAAATAATCTATTATTTACATTCCGTTCTGTGGGATATCGTGCAGGGACAGACAGAAATATCACATAGGCTATAGACCTAGGCTAAAGTCTGGCTGTTAACGAGTAAAGTTACGTCTAGAGTAACTAAGTTATCGAGAAAAACAATCTACAAAAGTCTATTTTGTTGATTTATTTATGTAACCAAAATGGTATTATTTCATATACACGTTACTTAGCCGATGTCAGGATATTATTTCTTCTTTCAATTGGAGTTTGGTGCAACTGCAAAAACGAAAACATGTACATCTTCTAGTTCTATTGCTAAAATGAGAGTCAGGCATGGCGAATCGATCGAACAAGGACATGTACATGTGAAACGATCAAGGTTCAAAAATAAAAATACCACTGCGCAATCCTGACCAAAAAAAACGACGGGCGACGCACGACGGGCGACGCACGACGGCAAATATGGAATTCCATAACTTAAATGCTCTACGAAATAAAACATTTTGTGGCCCCATGAATTTGACGATTTGTATAAAGAGAAGTTTAGGGTTTGAATTTAAGGTACCTCTCGAACGCCAGAGAAACTCTTTATTTTTCCAGATACTTTGAAGTTCGGATATTTATCACCGTTAGTTAGGGCAGCTTAACCGGCTTTTAACTGCATACAATGTTGACCCTTTGTGGTTCCAGTGCGCTTCTATCCTTATTTGACGCGACATCTGGTCGAGAACCCGAGCCCTTTAAAAATACACAAGTGCACGGGCTTCTTTAGAAATGTGGGCCCGTAATCCCTTACACTCGGAGGTCATTGAAGCCACCCAGGCGGCATCTTACCGTACCGAATACGAAGATAGATAAAAACTTGATTGCCATTGTTACTCGAATTCTCTCGTGGCATCAATAGTTAAAAACAATGCAAACCAATCATCGACTTTAATTTCATTGGTCCAAGGCATTGCGAGTCCACATTTTGATTGGCGTGTCAAGTGCATGTACAATATAAGGTTGGGGGAGTGCGTGGCATTGGAAGGGGTTTTAAATAAAATGGGCAAGAAAAATCAAAGAAAAAGATGGCACCAAACCAACAACAGGTTGCTACATTATCAACTTAAGAATGGCCTACACCGATTTCGACACCTTCAATCATATTTCTGCATTCCAACCCACGGTATTATATCACCCTCTGCTTTCGATTTCACCATAGCCGTGCACAAATGATTGGCTCAGGCCTCAGTGGTTATTCTCAAAAGAGACCAGTGATTCTCCATACGCTCACCTACATATATGTAACTCAATCAACAGGAAGTCTAGTACAGTTGTACAGATCCCAGCAATTCGAGTTAGGCCTCCATACATTACCGTTATGTGCAGCCCTTTTAAGTGGCGACCAGTCTAATCAACTTCCGGGTGCAATCCTCAAGCAAGACGGGCGGAGATAAGTGAGTTGATCCAATTTTACATGTTATTAAGTTTTACCACACGTCATGGCAAATGTAAGACGAGCGCAGTTTAAACGCTCGTCTGATTCAGACTGATTGTGTTATAGATAACAATGTGTTTTAAACCCCGGTATGTCGTGGAAGGAGCACATTAACAATACATGTACTTGTACTATCCCAGGAACTTTTGGAGTCCCCATCAAAATTACAGTAGGCCTACTTTGCCTCACGGTGTCTGATCCAAGCATATCATAGTGCCATGAAATCTGGAAATGTGAAACACAGGAGAGCCAAGCTGAGAAACTCTTCAAAATTAACAGAATTCCCGGCGCACAGATAAGGTCTGAGTAGTTTTCCGTGCACATATTCTTTTTCAAACACTGGAAACACCAGAATCAGCTTTACACAAATGACTAAGGTTAACGTCACTCACTTTGTGCAGCTTGGACACTGTNATGTAGCATTTTACAACAGTACTGTACATATTGTTAAGATGCCATGAGTATGACGACATGAAGCATGTATCTTGGCTTGGTACGATTATGCAGTTTCGCCATTCAATAAACATGTACTAGGACCACTCTGTGAAAAAGAACGTCATTGTTTAGACACTAGTCATTTAAACTGTGATCATTTTTCAGTGATAATTCGACAGCAACCTTTTTTTTGCTGCTGCGAAAGTCGAGGGTTTTATGCAGCATACTGATAGAACGATTAAACCTATTACTGGATATCTCAAAAACACCATTTGCTTGAGAGTGAGTTTTACTGATCACACCGAGGTGAGAGTTATGTGGATAATGAAATCTGTCAAAATACTTTACTAATTTTTTCAGTCCTTGCTAAATTGTAAGGAGAAAAAATTAACTTTCATGTATAGTCGCATGCACGGATTTGTGTAATATGTTAAAATATTATGCTCTGAAAACACGACCTGTGCCTTTGAAGTGTGACCTTGAATGAAACACCGATTCACCAAGCAGAAAAGGTACGTTTTTGAGGGGGCTGGAAAGCCTTAATTGTCGACTACTGTTAATTCACATTATGCAGTCAACCATTTCTTGCATAGCCACGTCTATTCGTGGTAGTAAGAGACGACTATTTTGACTTGTCAAGTAAATGTACAATGTACAAAATAGTACAGCAAACCCCCCAACTTAAAAAGGGGGTGTTCCTCTACAAAAGAGTGTTTTGTTGTTTTTATGCCTCCTGTTCGTTTGATTTTTGCTCTTTCGGAGTGGTTTCTCATTTTAAAGCGGTTTCTGAGCTTTTGGTTAGGATTTATAAGGAACTAGACCTTCTAGGAACGAGCGTTTTACTCTTTTGCCTGTAGAGAGAATCCATAGGAATTATAAATGGAATCTTGACTAGTCCTATGACTCAAAGTACTAATCATTTAATTAGTGTCTATTAATTATCTAAATGTCTGTGTGTGTATTTTTGGGTTGTTTTATTTTCCCAGCAAGCTAAACGGACGGAGATGGACATCGAAGATCAGCGTGATGATCAAAATCTGTTTCACGATGCATGTAGCCTGAACGGTATGACATCACTGACGTGTGAGAAGAGTGTGCCGAGCGAATCAGTTGCTCGGGACGAGTCATTCTGTCCGGCACAAGCAGGGGACGCTGGCTCACGGCCTCTAGAAGGGACCAGGAGCAACAAAAGGGATGGACAAAAGGACAGCGCCGTTTGCATTCGTCCACCTTATCCCGATCCGTCCGGGGAGGGTATGCATGAAGCCGCGAGAAGGCGCCTTCGCTTTTCCCAGTTAAGGAGGGGTGGTTCATCCATCCGCACTCTTCCGGCTGTTTGGGGGGACGAAACCCTTTCCAAAGAAGCAAGCAGGGATAGAGTTAACTGGTTAGTAGTGTGAGTGACGACAGTGCCATCGACGTCAGCATGTTTACCGCAAGTGTCAGCTTTCAGAGTGACGGGACAATTGAGGAGGAAACGGTGTTAAAAGCAGAGGATTCCTTCGACACAGCTTCAGAAATAACTCCACATAATCGGGTATGCTATCCCAGAACGGAAAATGAACGTTCTGACACAGACAAGAACGCTACCAAGGCAAATCAGGTAGATTTGAGTTTTCAGATGGCCGTTAAGGGTCCTGAAAGAAATTGGAGTCGTCAGTTGGACGAGATGGGTCCTAAGACAATTGAGATAGGTTGGAGTCTTCAGTTGGACAAAGTGGGTTCTCAGACAAATCG